CTCAAGTCTCTTCTGGGTCACTCCCACCTCTTCCACCTCCCAGACAAACTGCATTCTTATGTTATTCTTCTCTAAGTTAGTTTTGTCTGTTTAGATATTTATGAAATGGAATTATGCATTATGTACTCTTTTGTATGTCTTCTGTTACTCAGTATAAGATTTTTGTAGTTTATTTCTATTGTGTGCATTAGCAGTTTATTCCTTCTTATTGCCAAGTAGAATCCTGTTGGGTTAATATACTACAATTTGCTCATCCAGTTTCCTTCTGTGAACATATTGGCTTCCCCCACCCCCAGTTTTTGGCTAATATGAATAAAGTGACTATGAATATCTATCTATCTATCTATCTATCTATCTATCTATCTATCTATCTATCATCTAAAAGCCTAAGCAACCAAACGACTGGTTGACCAGTTGCTATGATGCACCCTGACCACCAGGGGGCAGACGCTCAATGCAGGGGCTGCCCCCTGGTTGTCAGTGCACTCCCACAGGGGGAGGTGCACTCCCACAGCCAACCTCTCATGGCTGGCCAACCTCCCGTGGTCCTTCCCCCTGGCCGGCCCCGATTGGCCTGATTGGAACTGGGCGAAACGGTCCCAATTGGCCCTGATTGCTGGCCAGGCCAAGGGACCCCACCTGTGAGTGAATTTGTTGGCTTCTAGTTATTATACAGAGTATGACCTAATTTTTGCCTCTCCATAAACACAATGTAATATTTTCAACTATATCATCCATCCATCCATCCATCCATCCATCCATCCACCCATCCATCCACCCATCCATCATTCCAACCACCCATTCAAGCACATATTGTGTATTTACTGCATGTCAGGCAATGTTCTAACACTGGGAATACAGTACAAAATTAAAAGATATATTCCCTGTCCTTTAAAGAATGCAGTGAGAGAACAACACAGATAGGTAATTATAAAAACATAAAATTCAGACTAAAATGGGAGCTTCCAGAGAAAGGAGGAGGGAAGCAGAGTAGTGTCCACAACAACATTTGATGACAGCTTTAGTAATGGGTGTCATGATGCTCTTGCCTGTGGCTTCCTTCAATAAAAGCCAAAGGCTTCACCATGCAACTCAGTTCAATGGCGGTCATTTCGCCAAGAAAGTTACTTTACTCCATGCCTACTTCCTAGAGCTTGTCATCTCTATTTGCATACCTCCAGCAGGTCTATCTCAAACTTTGATCTCACTTGACTCAGACTTTCAGAGGAGGTTATTATTTTAGGAGGTTATTTTGTCCTAAAGTTTATAGATTTCTCCTGAAAAGCACTGTGGAGCTGACTCATAGAATCAACCAGGCTTCCTCAAGTGCAACAATTCCAGAATGTACTAACTCTGAGGGGCAACACAGGATTACTTTCGAGTAATTGCTAAGGTTGCCAAATAAAATACAGGACACCCAGTAAATTTAAACATCAAATAAACAATTTTTGAAAGTGTAAGTATGTCCCAAATATTGAATGGGACGTAAGTATGCTCCAAATATTTGATGTGATATGTTTATAACAAAAGTGATTATCTGCAATTAAATTTAACTGAACATCCTATATTTTTATTTGCTAAATCTAGCAACCCTAGTTACTAGAGGAAGAAGGCTTTCTGGCCAAATGACTTTTACCCATGACGGAAGCCAAACCCATAAAGTACCAATACTTAAAAACAAAAACATGATGGAAATGTTAACAAATAATACATCTCCCAGTCTTTTAAATTAGAATATGTAGCTACATCACAAACTTTCTTGATAACCAAAAGTCATTAGTATGAATATTAATTACGTCAGTATGCAATGTACTCAAAGCTACAGGGTTGCTTGTCTCTATATTGAACACTACCAGACATCTGTGGTTTTAGAATTTTAAATTTAAATTATTTTTTTCTTTTCCCGTCATCATCAGGCTATCAATTAAACCTCCTGTGACAATTAGTATTTATTTTCTCAGAGTCTGCCTATTCTGATGTCAGTGAAAAATGAGATACTAAATCTCATTAGCAATATGTACAAAGAAAAAAAATATAGGCTAGTATGGAAAAAGATATGAGTTTTTGGTAATTATTGAACATTCCATAGGTTTTAAAAAACTAATTTACAGTCTTTTAATTTTATTTTCTCAAGTATCCATTTACTTACTCATTAAAATAACAAATATTTTTATCTAATAGAAGTTTATGCAGACCTCTGCACCTTCAACATTTTATGAAATAATATTTATAATGAGTCTTTAGAAATGCATATCTTTAAAAGGCTGGAAGGTTATTAAAAACTGAATGTTGTTATCTAAATATTTTATGTCTTCCAAACTGTGTATTCACTTAATTTACATAATTGCTTGAATCCCTTAAGTGGATTCCCACCTGGCCTCCTGTTACCCTGCTAAGCAGTGAACGTGAAAAGCTCCCTCTCACCTAGATGCTCTCAGGATACATACTGGTCTTAACATTTCCTGCACCTTTAGTCTGGATCTCAACCTTTCAACTAAGTAGAGAAGAAAAAACCCAAATCTTTTAGCTACAGAGATCATGAAGGGCACTCAACTTTTAGCAGGAAGTTGACCCTAATACTTAGCCGTTTACTGTTTCTTTCTCTGGGAATCTTGGTGCTGAAGAGTCCAAGTCTTCGTGACAATGCTTTGCCAGGGCACAAAGAAGTCACTGCTGACAGATACTCATAGAAGCTGAGGTTAGTAAAAATAATTACAGCATATGTATTTGACTCATGAAAGCTCCCCTTGGATAGAGTGGCATTCCAGGTTAAACTGCTTCAGTGTTGTATAAAAATATGATGAGAAAAATATCAGATTAATGGAATGTGGGTAAGTATTATGTAACAACATATTATATTATAGAATAAATCTAGGATGCCCAGGTTTGGGGGTGTGGGGAACATGATTCTTTCTTATCTGCAAAACTTTCTAGAGTCCTTGTCATGTTCTTATAAATGTCCATGATATGACACACAAAGTTTTCTGAACGTCTTTGACCACAGAACACTCTCACCCAGAGCATCTTGCTGGCTGGTGTTCTGTAAAACAATCTTTAGAAAACACGGTGGAGGAGGATGACTCAAATTGTCTCCACTGCCTAGTGCCCTGGGATTCTCAGACCCCACCTAAACCTGCTACGAAACCTGATCTCCTTTCTTGGCAAGAACACCCTGGGTTCCCTTTTCTCCCTTCAACTTCAGTACAAAAGTATTTGGTCCAATTCCAGAGATTTAGACTAGTATTAAAAACCCACTTAAAACATGAAGTAGACACAGTGAATAACTTTCTAGAGAAAATTGAATTGCATTGGGTAATTTGAGCTCCTTATGATCAGGAACCAAATCACATTCAACTGGTGGCCAAGTTGCTTAAGGTAAGCACTTAGCAAACTGTTGTTAAATGAATGAGCAGTGAGTAGCACACAGTTGGTACTCTGTAAACTGGGACTCCCTTCACCCTTTTCCTAAAACACAGAAGAAGACATTGCATGCACCTGCAAGATGTAGTTCAGGGACGGACCTTCCAGGATTCAGGTGCTCACTGTCTCCATGCATCACTGAACCAGTCTTTGCAATTGGGAACCTCATGGCCATGGAGGACTACATTTCGATACTCTCACATCTTTCTGAGTTTTTAGAAGTTACATTGCCCTTTGACCTATTCATATGCAGTCCAAGTTCTAGGTAAATGATTCAGGATAATCCTTCTCCAATCCTTCTCCATTCCCCGCCCCCCCTAAGTTCTTGGCCAATGAAGAGGAGGTGCTGGAGAGCTGAACTGAGGAAGTAAAAATGTAACTTGAACATCTGAAGAAAACCACCCTGGTTTCTAAATGCATTGACTTTCCTTGAGTTACAGTAAAAAGAGAGGGAAGCACATCTTGGAAACTGCTGCGAGTGCACATTTGTACTCTGGAGTTCTCCATCCCGAGAAAGGCATGCAATGCATTTCCCAGAAAAGTGGACATAGGCAGCAGCATGAAAAGGGTCCTCCCAGGCCATTGCCAGGGGCCCTCTCCCAGCCCTTCATCTGGGTGTGTTGTTTCTTCTCCTCTGGTCTGCTTTAAAAGGCATTTTGTTCTTGAACAGAAAATGTCTGGGCAGGGACTACCTGTCCTGACTGCAGAAATGGAGAGCATGATCACTCCCCCACCTTGGAATCCAGGGAGGTCGGCATCCTTCCCAACTGGCTCTTATCAGCTTCCCTGGAAGCTGAGCTAGTCCCCATCTTTGGCTGAGGGTCTGTAGCTATGCCCATGGGATATTGTAGAAGGAAGAAAATATAAGTACTTCTGTGAGGACCTCAGACCTACGTAGCACTCAAAGTGAACTGTTGAAATGTGGACCTGCACTTCAGATCCATTGAACCTTGGGTCCTTTTCCTTCCAGCTCAGTCTGAGAAGCAAAATATAAGAATACAAATGTCGGTCAAACAGACCTTGGTTCAATACAGATTCTACCATTTCCCAGGAGATCCTAGAGTGTTCCAGATACGGCTCCAGATAAGTTTACAAAGATAAGTAAGACAAAGCTCTGCTCTTGAATTGCTTTCCATCTAGTGGGAAATGTTTTATAATACACTATGATAAGAACATTTCGGAGGAAGACACAAATCTGAATTAATCTCACCTGTGGTACTCAGGAGACCTAGACAGAGATGGAAACATTGTAAGTGGGTTTTGAAGTATGAATAGGTGTTTTATTAGTAGTTAGAGTTGGCTATATTATTCTATAAAGAGATAAATTTTTCCAATCTAAGTGGGTAACCAGAATAAAGTTTATTCCCTGCTTGCGTAAAGCCCAATTCAGATGTTCTCATCAGGCAGCTCTCCTCAGTAGCTCTTCTTTTCAGAGTGACCTGAGATCCCAACTACACCATTAAACTGGTTCTACTGTTCCTGAATGGGGTAAAGCACTGATGGGGTGAGGGTGGCCCGAACTGAAGTGTGCAGTAGAAGTGCGAGCCCAGAGGTCTCTAGGGATGTTTCAGGGTTCTTACAAAGCTCTGGATGTGCAGTGGGGGTTTGATAGATTTTATCTACTTCTTAGGGAGCAGGAAAACCCACATCTGAATATACAAAGTGATGGGTAGAGATAGAGATAAAAAGAGGAATAGAGATAATGATATTAAAATGGAGGTCTTTATAACATAACTATAAATGTTTGGTAGCCTGGACAATTTGTAAAAAGAGTTCTGCTCTGCTACGCATTCACAGGCCAGCAGTAGAAGAGGAAGCAGGAGACTTTGGGACGTGAAAGGGGAGGGAGAACCCGGCTCATCTGTCTTCTCTAGTCTTGGAATTTCTTTGGGGCTCGGATATGATTGTGAAGTCTAGTTCTGGGAACAGAAAGCCAAATATTCCTGCACAGGGTTGGGAGAAGAGACTCACTGGAACTGAGAAAGAAGGATACATAAGGGGCTGGAGATCAGAGTGGAGGAGCTGCAAGAGTCAAGTAATGATCTTAGGTTTTATAAAACAGGGTCTGCAGTCTAGAATGGAAGAGGTGACAGTCCTTTTCTGCTCTGGGCTGACTGTTGGGGTCCAACCCCAGCAGGTCAGGGGTTCCCAAAGGTGTGTACGGAGTCGGCGAAGAGGAGGTGACAGTCCTTTTCTGCTCTGGGCTGACAAGTCCACCTCCTTCTGGATTTGTGCTTCTTTTTGAGGCTTGGCCACCAGCAGTTCCCAGAATGACCTTTGTGAAGTGAAGATCTGATTATGTCAGTTCATTCTTTAACACCATAAAATGGCTTCCCATTGCACTGAGAATACATCGGGCTCTCTTCCTCCTGGCTTACAGGGCCCCTCATACCCTTTCCTTCTTCAGTTCTTTCCACCCACCCTTCTGCTCACCTGAAATGTTTACCCTCTCTTACTTCCACTTGGGACACAGTTGACTTCTACACATCTATTATATCTCAAATCAGATGTCACTTTTCTTGACCTCCAAGATCAAGTTGTGGTATCCAGTCTCATTCCACCCTGCCTATTTCCTTCCTGGAATTTCATTCCTAACAGGGGATTCTACCCTGCATTGGCACAGGGCCTGAAAAATCCAGGAGGGAGCACTTCAGCCTGAGGAAGGCAGAGGGAGAGGCTGAGCAACACCCACCCAAATAGGTGACCTTGGTTAAAACACATAGCGCTGACAGAACCTGGCTGGAGATCCTGGCTAGGCTGCTGATCAACTGAATGCTGTCTCCATGTCATTCCTTCTTCGCTGACTCCATACACACCTTTGGGAACCCTTGGACCTGCTGGGGCAGGACCCCAACAATAAAATGATAGGTGTAAGATAATAAAAAAAACAAATAAACAAACAAAAAACACACACACATAGCGCTAAGAAGGGGAGCAAACATATTAAGAACAGTATGCCATATATGCCAGGTCCTTTGAAACATATGCTGTGCAGATGTTTCTTCCCTGCAGCGACTGTATCAAGCAGCAAGGATGGACCGGCTTCTGGCAG